CAGGCCGCTGAGTTACGACTGTGCTGCCCTCTGTGTGGTGCCTGGGAGGAAGTTTCTTTATAGGTTAGCAGTGGGAAAGGTTGCCTGGGCTTTCAACTAACAGCAGGCATCTGAAGGGCCTCCAAAAAAGAGGTCTTATTTGTTACAGTCGGCCAGGTCAGGGTCAATGGGGCAGGATGGGGGCGGGGCTTCAATGAGCGTATGTAAGGAGGTGACTGAGGGGGAAGCAAAAACCAAAGGACAGAAAAAATCAGGGCAAAGTGGCATTTTTATGTTTTTATAAACTGAAAGACGAACGTGAAGGAGATGTTTAAGAAAAGGAAAGGGAGCAGGGTGGGGGTCAGGGGGTCGATTAACTCACTAATGAGCCAGCAGTCTGGAATTAATCGGTTCCATGTGGCGCCGTTCTCGCCAATTAGAAAGAACATGCGGTGCTGCGTCTGCGAGCACACATACAGCACGCAGGCTCATGGTTACAGCAGCACTGACGTTTACCTTATATATGCTTTTCCACACAGTGCACGCAACCAGCTCCACAAACTATAAGATCCAGAAGGCTGAGCTTCAGGCACGGTGGAGGAGAAAGGGAGCGGGGAGGTGCTGATGAGGATGGTGATGACTTCGATTGGATCCAGATGTTGGTTTGCTCACTAGTGTTGCTCCACTGCACGAGCATGTGCTTTCATTTGGGAGGTGTTTTTACAGACCGACTGACTGGACAGGTCTTCTTTTCTTTTTCTCGTCCAAACTCTCACCGTGTGACGGCGCATTAGGCTCTGATTACTGTCAGCGGTCCACTTCATCACAGCACAGAGCATCCAACAGAGACGAGAACAAACATGCTGCTTCTAAAACACGAGAGCGAGCGAGCAGGAGGCTCTGTAAAAGGATTCACTCCTGTGAGTTTACTCTAACCACAAAAACCAAAGAGATCATGTGTGGAGCTGAGAGTCCAACAGTCACAACAAGCTTGTCTTTTGTTTTTAAGCCCAGTTTTGATTGGTTGAAGTTCACTGATCTCCTCTTGGTTTCCTCTCAATCGAGCCTTTCCAAGGATGCACAGGAGCAGGACCAACATCAAACCGCAACCACAGAAGGAAGGCTCAGGAAGTGGATGTCAGAGGGATGTAATGGGAAAAATGGAGGAGGATGGGAGTGTGAGGATATTCCAGTGTAACTGTTCCACTTATAGATAAAAGGAGCACCGCTCCAGAGTAAATCACGGAGCTGAGGGAGCGAGCTGTGGTGCGAGCCATGCTTCAGGCAGAAGAAGGACGGTGAGAGAATAATGTCTTACTTTAGGGGAAAGGAGAATAACGGGGCTGAAAGTGATAAAGGGAGAGAAATGGCCTCGTATGAAGACAAACAGATGGAGAAGGACTGAATTCGGTGACTGGAGCACTGAGTCAGTGTAATGCAAACATACCACAGACACGTGCACGACCCTTTTTCATGTACTCTCACACTCCTGCCGGGAGCAACGAACACGCTGACCGAGCTAAAGAAACCACATTTCTCTCTGAGTGATGGAGGTCGAAGCACACGTATCGATTAGCTTTGGAAACGTGCAGGACGCACATTTCACTTCTCAGTCCTGACTTTAGAGGCCACAGCTTTGATGCTCAACAATCCCCTACATGACTGCGAGCT